TGTAGCTTATGGAGTTAACTATTTTTATTATGTAAATAATTTACAGTTAAATAAATTTTATTGTTTTTAAAACTAAAAGTAATAATAAAATATTTTACAGTATTATATATATATATTATAAAAGGAATTAAGAGTGTATTTTTTAATCTAATTTACTTCTATTTCAATTAACCCAAAACACTTTTAATTGCTTAATATTTTGAAAATTACTAAGGAACCAAATATACTATTAATTTTTTTCTTGTTTAAATGTTGCGTAATTAATGATTTGAAAAAAGTAACTACGAATACAGTGATAAAATTATTTGTTTATGTTTATAGATTACTGTTACTTGGCAATTCTTTGTTTTAATTTAATCATTAAGATATTTCTTTAGAGCAAATGCATTTCGCTACAATTAATATTAATGTTATTAAAGATTCGGTTACATAGTTCTAGTTCACTTTAATGCGGTTCACAACTTTTTATTGCATGCAATTTCTTGCTTGGAAAAACGCCATATGTGAAAATAAAGTTGCAATAAAAATATAAACCGAAGTTTGCCACACCCATCGTAAAAATACTATTATTTTCATTAAGTTAAAAATATTATTTTCAACATACTTAATAAGTATATAATGTAACATCTTAAACATTTTGTTTTTGATTACGTCATAAGATAATTAAAATTTTTCACATTTACACTATAGAAACAAAATATTATCAATAAATTAGATATTATTTTATAAGATAAAAACGGATAAAGAATTATTTACTTCTACATAGAAATAGAAAGAAAGTTAATTTAAGTTAATAATTAATATCTAGTAGAGTAGATTTTTTTTATAATTTTAAAAAGAAACACTTTAACATTTTAATATTTAGTCGTTTCTTATTCAAATTTACGTAAAATAATTTTACATCTAAAAATATCATAAAACATTAAACTGTTATTTCTTTCTGTTTGGTAAAAGTAACTTGGAAGTAAGTTTTCGATAAGAATCAACAATTATTTTTAATTAGACTGAAAATATGAATAAGTACTACCTAATTCTAAATTATTAAGTATGAGCGTTTCTTCTATGGGTACTTTTTTTTTTTATGAAAAATGAAACCAAAAAATATCATTGTTTTGTATTCATCTTGACTATATGAATATAAATAGACTGTAACTTATGTACAATTTTTCTCTGAAGCTCTAAAAATTATTCATCATATTCATCTGTATATATCATTCTTATCCTTGATTACGGAGAAAGAATATAATACACTTTTATTCACTTTTTTATATTAATGTTCTACTTAAAATAACCTATCTTGGTAATACTTTTCTTTACTTCAGTTTTACCGTTTTATAATCCTATACAACTTTTTTATCTTTTACTTTAAAAAATTATATTTCTTATTTATATTTAAAAAAAAGTTAAAACTTAAGATAAAAATTTAACATTATGCAACTAAAAAATGACAAAGAATTTGTAAAATATAATCAAAAAATTAGAAAAAAAAATTCTTATAGTGTACTTATAACTTCTGAGCAAATAACTTAATTATATTTAGATACTTTACTTAATTAAAATTATTTTATCACTAAACTTTTACAACAACAATCATTATATATTGTATATACAGAATTTATCATTAAGAATAAGACAATCATTTTCTCAGAAATTATTAAAAATTTTTAATTTTTCAAAAAAAAATATTGTTTGATTCAAAAAACTATCCAATAATAGTAATTATATCAATTTTTTTTCATCCCTTCCTCTGAAGGGATTAAGGTTAATTATTAAGGTAATAAAGGTTATAATATTATAGTAATGTAAAATTAAGGTTTTTTTTATCCTTATAAAAAAAACCTTAACATTAATTTTTTAAATGAAAATACCTTTTATTACTTTGATAATATAATTGAAAAAATTTATAAAAAATTTGTTTTTATAATTTTTTTATCTGATCAACCTTTTTTTTTTAAATTGTTTAAAGATTTAGATTTAAAGTTCATCATTAATTTGATTTTCGTACACCGGAGGCAAAAATAATCTATTTTTCAATGGACCGTAAATTATTTTTATGGTAGCTATCAAAAAAAATTTTTCCATGCTAGTAATTCAACAATGTATGATAATAAACTTAATGAATGATTCTGTATGTATAGAATGAAAAGTAAATAAGAAAAAAGTTTCTATTGTTATCATTATTCGTAAAAATTGACCGGGTTTCTTACTTTTTGGAAAACTGTGTATATACTCAATATTGAGCATGTATACTATACACTTGATATACTTAATGAATTGTTTTTTAAATGTTGAAACTTTTAATACTTCTCACCTAAAATCTTTATGTATAGGCAACTAAATCGACTAGAAATGTATGTATCGATAAGCAACTTGATAGATGGCGTTGTAACAATACAATAATAAAAACTATACAGAAAATATTTTCTGATCAATTTTAAATCAGTCACCTTTATAAATATATATTTTTTTTTTATTAGAAAAATTAAGTTATGATAAAAATATGAATATTAATTTAAATTGTTTTAACAAATATTGAAATTTAATGTTGACTAATTGATTTAATTAATCATTATTAATACTACTACATTTTTAATTCTTTTGTGTGTAAAGAGTTATTTACAGTTCTGTAGACTATTCTCATATTTATTTCTCATTTAATTATTTCTTATTAACTAATTTTTTTAATTTATTCCAAGAATTATGTTCTTTATGTCTGATTCTATCTAATTGGTGAGCAATACCCAAGGAAAAAAAATGAAAACAATGAGTTTATCATAACTTGATGTTACGGTAATATTCAATCAACATCGAAATAATTATGCCCTAACATTCTTTCCCTTCATTGTCATAAGAAACTCCTAATTCGTGATTTAAACAGGTTTCGTGACGTTTCAAAAGGTCGAACAATGAGAAATTATCATAATAATATGTTAAAAATCAATACTATTGAATACTCGATCGATGGCATTTTATAATGATTTGCAAGACGGTAAACATTATTTATACGTCGTAATCTCATTGTTTTCAACAGTTCACCTTGGACTGTCTCGTACTCGTCTACCATCTCAAATCAAAATTTACTGGCATTTTATATTTCTAGAATTTTTCTCTCGGCAACATACTGTATTAAACAGAATAAAGAATTTCACCAGTGCGAATTCCTTTGCAAAGTTTTCACATGATAACTCGTTCATAACAAACACTTTACAAAGTCAATCGTTTTTATTTAAACTACTCAGAGTTATACTGATAAACTATAGTTTATTTGAGACAAAAATTAAAAAGTAATTAATTACATATTTATGTTTTTCAATTTATGAAATAAATTAGATTCTTTCATAAATGTGTGGTTTAATAATTATAAACCCCGATACTCTCACATGGTAAACTAAATACTTTTTCTTTTCATTAGTGAGACAAGTGTATCGTTTTTTACTTAAATTCCAAAAATCTCTTAATATGTGTTAAATAAAGTTGATGGCCGTGTCTATATTTATTAACTATTACATATTAAAATATCGTAGCCCTAATGTTTGTGAACAAGAAAAGTCAATTTATTTTGTTTCCCTTTTAACTATATCCATTTAAGTTAACTATTGATGTCACTCAAGATAAATTACACAATGAACATCGCTTTACTAACTCTTTACATCGATTAAGTCTTTTGTAATTCAACCTTAAATCGAGCCCTTTATCTCATTCTTTTTTTGGTAATCGATTAACTCAAATGCCAGTTTTAGTGACTTATAAGTCATTAAAATTGACAATTTAGACTACAATAATTATACTCAACATTTCATTTTCTATTTACAAAATATAAATTATCTATTTTTATTTGTTTTAAAGTAAACAGTTTATACATTCTGTAAAAAATCCTAAATATCTTCCAAATAATATAAGTAAATATTTAGCACAATTAAATATTACTATAAAGTGGTTTACTAATTACACGTGATTAACACTATTTTTTTGACTAAACATTGTAGATCTCATGACCCAATTTCAAATTTTGTCCACAAAAGACACAGAATCCCGTCAGTTATTCATTTTGTAATCAAAATTGAACTTAGATTGTGTTGAGGTTTGGTATGAGAAATAACAACGAATTCTTTTTCCGAGTAAATAGTCAGTCATTCTTGATTTAAGATTACAGTAACACTTACAAGCTTCTAATATTACGTTTTAATATTTTAATAGCTATCGTCAATCTAAATAACGCCGCCTACATCAAAACGTCAAACGTGTCTATTTAGTAGTAATCGTTTTGTATGCATGTAATGATTTCTCACATCTATCAAAAATTCTACCTGACGATTCTTAACCAGATAGCCACACTTTTAATATATATATCTATCAAATAATACTTTTAACGCCAAAGTAATATTGTAATTTAATATGTATACTTTATATATTTCAACCCTACAGCAGTAGTACTTTACAGGACGTATATCAAAAATATAGAAACTATCTATTATTCTAACTTGGCGGTTAATTAGCGGATAATCGTCATTTTTTAAAATTTTATTTTAATAATTCCAATTTTGTCCAAATCTTGAAAAGAAAACATAATTTTTGCAGGTTTGTTGAGATTGTTAAAATTTTAAACACCAAAAATGTCAACATTTACATTGATCTTATGGGAAATTTTAAACAGTTTTTTTTTTTTTAAACAACACTGCATTTGAGGAGTTCTCTTTAATGATACAACTCAATTGAGTGTTTATTGTTAAATAACGCAAGTTCTAATAAATAATAGTTTTAATAAATTTTATATTGGTTTCTACTATTGAAAATTACTTGATAAGGTTAAAATATTGAGCTACTTAAGTGTAGATATCTCATGAGATAAGTGGAAACGTGTTCCAAAAATAAAAAAAATTTTTGTTTAACCCTAATTGTTCTTAATTAACTCCACCGTGTTGCTTTACTATAGCACGTGCACCTAAACTAATTCGTTTTATTCATATTGGAATCATTCAATGGAAGTTTTCCTATTACAGGATGTCATATTATTGATTGACAAAGCTTCGAACTAAAGTTTGCAATGAGACTAGGCCGAAGATATTTAGAGCTCATGGTTTCCGTCATCAACCCGTCATCGTCGCCGGCGGCTCCTTGTCGTAGCCCGTTGGCACCATTGGCTTCATTTGAATCGCCTGGTTCGGAATTCGACTCTAACAGCACTAGATCTGAGAAGATCTGCCCGTTCCGTGAATTTATTTTAAGCGATGTAAGTAAATTCTTGTCAGAAAGAGACACAATCATAATGGTATAATATTGTATATTTTCTTTTTTTTTTTAGAAATGGAGACAGTTATTTGACAAGGTAAGGCGAACCTTTTGCACGTTTCACACTTTGTTGTTTTTATTAACCGTTAACTTTTAACAGTATGATCCCGAAGGTTTTGGAGAGATCCCGTGGAATGATTTCTTAGTTTTACTCAACACACCCGAGTTTGTTCAATTAATTTCCCAAGAGAAACGGGAGATGTTCATTGAACGATACCGGCAATCGAACAAGACGGCCATCACTTTCCAGGACTTTGTCAACCTGGTAAGTTTATGACGTATTTAGTAACTATACGTGCTTCTGGAGGAGGTGTGATCACTTGTAATAATAACACAGTACTCCGAGAAACCGCCACCGCGTTACATACTGTGGACCGTACGCCGTTCACACGAGACGACAAAGACTTGAGGATATCGACGCCGGCGGTGGGACATTAGGTTATTATTATTATTTCCTCCATTAATTCTTTCCATTACACGTCATCGTTTTCGTGACAACATGTTATGACTCTGTGGACGCGGCTCGTCGTCATATACTACGACTACTACGCTGCGACTGTCGTCCCTATAATATATTTATATATATTTGATTGTGCGTACCTCCAACGCACATTCAATTAGGATCTTCTACCGTCTAACGATAATCACCTCTTCGGCGAGTAATGAATGTGATTCGGCGGCAAAGAGACCGCCACCACCACCACCATCACCACCGCCGGCTTGTTGCTGTGTTTATAATAACTTCACATTGGGTATACACAACGATATAATAATATGTGAGAAACAGACGTTATTATCGGATACGTCGGCCGATTTAGATGTTATTATTACTCAGCGGTGACGGTGACGGCAATAGTCGAAAATCACCTAAACAATACTGCTCCTATAATAATAATAACTACCTAGTTTTTTTTTTATTATACTTAACAAATTTTTTTTCTTAGTTCTTCGCCGGCGGCCTCCGCCTCTGAGTTTACATGACAACATTTTTAACCGGATAAATTACTAGGGGCCACACAAATGTAAACATAAATCAACTCTAACCCGATATACATTATATTCTAATAATAATAAAAAATGTAAACGTGGAAAAACATTAACTCGGACAATGACAGCAATAATAACATGTTTTGGTGTTGATACGGAGATGAAAAAGAAACGGTATTACTTTATGATGCTTATTTGTGACCAGATTTTTTTTATTCCATCCTATACGGCTTTGGTATTTTGAATTACTCAAGACAGACGTTTGAAATGTTAAAAATATCGTTGATTGCGGTTTATTAAAAAATAACAATAAGTGATTTTTCTTTCGTTTGTTTGCTATTTATGGTTTCTACAATTGAAAGTATATATAATTAATTGTTTTAACAATGTATTAATTTATATTCAAGCGTGGTCTTTATATTTAATTAATGGGTTAACAAGAGTAATAAACAAATAATGAACGATCGGTTAACCAGAAGAGAAGACGGTCTACAAGGTTCATCAAATGAAAATAAATCGGTGAGAACCAGTGTGTTATACCGACAGTGTATCATTAACAAGATAATACACTTATTAAAATCAATAACGTATTTTCAAGTGCACTTCATTATTCACATACCAACAACAACAATGTGTGATGAAACGACTCTTAACTCATAAGTATTTATTTCTGAGGAATACAAACAAATTTATACAATTATTTTATTAAATATTTGATACTCTTTTCGAAAAAACAGACATTTTTGAGTTCCTTTTTGATCAGTATTTTTTTTATAATGAGTATTTCAGAATAATACTTCAACTGTAGCCACATTTGTTACAATTACCATGATTTTCAAGTTTATTACACTTGACAATTCTTCTTGCTTATACAAATAAGTAGCGATTGAATTTAATTTCCTTCTATATGTTTCACAAAAAAAAACTTAAAATTTTTCTTAGTATACTTAATTATTTTTTCTAATTACTTACTGCGTCGTTTTTTTTTTTGAAAACATTTGTAAGTCAGTAATGAAGAAATAAAAAGTTCAAACTTTATCGAAATTAATCATCATAAATAATAACAAAAATTTTTATTCCAGTAAAAACTAAGTAATTTAAAAATAATAATGTAGCAGGTGTTTTTATTTAAAATTACTTCTTTCGATATCATAACTTTGTTTCTAAATAAAATGAAACGGAAAATCGCGAAAAAAATAATTTCTAGCTGTATACTAAAATTATATACTATTTTACCAAAACATATTGTTCTGTTGTGATAAAAACGTATACAATATCAAAGGGTTTTTATATCTCGTATTATAATTATATTTTGTTCCGTTACTAATGTGATATTCATTATAATCGATACATTGTCGAACAAATTTTGCATACCTTAATTAAAAATAATACTGTACGTCGGAAAGTAACTTTATGATGATTGCAATATATGTGACATATGCATGGATGGTATGCCACCTACAGACAACATGTAAATGCGCGCATTTACATTAAACATTCGCAAAAAAATTAAATTCAAATGATTTTATAACAAAAGGCCTGAGGTAAAAATCAAACTATGCGAATAAATACTTTAGCGGGTCCAAGTTAAATCACAAACGTTTCTAACGCTTGCATTTCTTGGAGATTGGTGCATCATAGTCAATTTAAGTTTATTAACTTCAATATTATTCGACGATCGGTCAAATTTATAAGTCAAAACCTAATTCTTAACGAAACAGCGCCCCTAAAAGAAAATCGCTATAATTTCACCAGTCCTATTCCAACATATACTGTTAGTGCTCAAGAAAAGAATCCTCTGTACTTTATTTGAAATAACATCTTCAATAATTCGGCCATCTTATGTCAAATTAATTTTCACCTACTTATTCATTCGTGAACAAAGTGTACTGAAAATTTCATGTTATATACAGGGTGGTTCTTTTATCGTTGAACACTTAATTATTCGAAAAATACATACAATATTGAAGAACATTTTACGTTAATATCTTTTAGTTGTGCGTTTTCGTTAGTTCATGAATCATAAAGTGGTTCTTATGTTTATCCCTTATGAGTGTGTCAAATATTTTTTTTTCAAATGGTAACATACATAATACACTAGCTTAGTTATTAGTTAATGATCTAATTAGGAAAATGACTGGTTAATAACAACTTTTGAAGTTAGAAGAGAAGTTATTAATAATTTAAAGTATTGACTGGAGGTAGGTATGAGTGCTGCTGTTTTTATCGCTAGACATTTCATGGACTCATTCTTTTCATTTAGGAGGTATAAAACTATAACTCGTAAAATACTGATCCAAAAGTTGTTTTTGTCCCTTATGACTTACAAAGAGAGTTAACTTAAATTTTTCAAATGGCGACTTACATAATTAACTAGCTCACAAAATAGGAAATTGTCTAATTAAGAAAGTGTCGGGTTGATATAAACTTTAAGATCAGTACTTCATAAGTTATGACTACTTTAAAATATAGACTAGGGAAAAGCACAGGTATGACTGTTTATAGCATTAGATATTTCTTGGCCACACTCCTACTACCGTCCTTGTATAAATATATTAATAAATTTCAAAGTTTGGTCCGAAAGTTGTTACCGATCCGTCATTTTCTTAATTAGATAATTTTCTATTTTATAAGTTAAATAAATATTTATTTTACCATTAAAAATAAATAAATTGAATACCTATAAGTTATAAGGAACAATACTAATTAGTAATTATAGCAGATAAATAAAAAAATATATGTAACTTAATAAAATCAACATTTTTTTTTCAAAACTGAATTTATTTTGCGAGTAATTGAGTGATTCTTGACAAGCGGATCGCTCTGTATACATTCTAATCTGATGGAAATTAATCTTAAGATTTCCACGAATTTAGTACTTGTTAGGTGTATTTTCATTTCATGCACATTAAGTACACAGCTAACTATATAATAAACATTTCCGTTCATCGACCAAGTAGACATCGACCACCCAACTATAATGAAACGTCGACGTATAGTCCAGGTGTTGTCGAGTATTACAAACTGCAGTTTCTTTTCAAAGTTGGGGTAGGTGACTCGTCATTGAAATATATTACATCTGTGCAATATGTTGTATTGTTGGCAAATACCGTATGACGTATAAATAAATTATAATTTTCATTTTAAATTTACCTCTCGTCTTGACGTCGACGACATAAATTTGAAAATACACTTTTGTAGTAAAATATTACACGCAGTAATATTTTGCTCTCGAACATCTTTTACATCTCTCACTAGACTCGGCGAGAAACAATTGGGAATCAACACCTCAAAATTACGAAAAAAATAAAATAAATAAATTTAGTGACAATGAATAAGTGAAATAAGATTTGAAATCGTTTGACCAGTGTTTTTATGTATTTTTTTTTTATCTAAGATCTGAGTAAGTTTGTTAACTACACACCTCTATTCTAGATGGGAAATGTCAGAATCGAAAGTGCTACTTCAGATGTTACTGCTTACTCTATTCACTGTAAGAATAATGAATTTAAGTAACAAATTAACAGCTTAGAAACGGTTCGCCCTCGTCTAATTTTCTGTGTTATAATTGTACACGTATCAAACGGCGCGTACAGACATTACAATAATATTGGGTATGTCTATGACACGACTTCGGTGTCGGCAATGATTACAGTTTTTTTACGGTCGCGGTTAAACGATATTTACGATTCTTTCGATACGGTCTCTGCCGCCGCCGCCGGTGTCGATGGGAAAAAAATAAGTAGAAAGCAAAGTACGTCTTATACACATTTAAAAAATGTACGTTATATCCCAGTTTACACAAATAAAAAAACATAATATAAGAACAAAAACCTTACGTACGTGCATTGGAAGGGCAACTCGACCAAGAGAGCGCACCCACGCTATGTAATGTTGTCGTCGCATTAATTTATCCACAAAGGTCTTCTTTAATTTTTGCTCCTGTGACGTTACACGTTATACGCGTTGATTTATGGCTACGTGGAATGTATACATTAGGAACAGAGATGACTATCTGAAATGGCTCGGTACATTACGTTTGCATGTAAAAAACGTTGCACGTTGGAACTGTTGCTCTACAAGACTATGGCCGACAAGTCAAAACATCCATACATAGATGCTTATAATTCAAAATACGGTTTTAAAGTAAACCTTGTAGAAAATTCTATTCATATATTTACCTAAGACTGTTCTCAGACATTTTGCTGAAAAATTCGAACAAAAACGAGCTATAAATAAAACAAGCGGTTTTTGAAAAAAAAAAAGGCTGATATGTTT